GGTGTGAACCATCCTTTTTCTTGACAAAAAGAATCGACGCTCCCCAAGCTGAGCTACTCGGTCGAATGAACCCCTTTCCCAACAGCTCCTGAAGCTGTGAGGATAACTCCTGCATTTCTGGTGGAGCGAGGCGATAAGGCGCCTTGGCGATGGGCGCCGCTCCCGGAACCAGATCGATACGAAACTCCACTTGCCTTTCTGGAGGCACGCCTGGCAGTTCTTCAGGAAACACATCCGAAAATTCGCACACTACTGGAACCTCGTCAACCAAATTTGGCCTCCTCGCGGCCACTCATGTGTCCATCACACATGCTATGAATCCACTACAGCCCTGCTGCAAACTCTGTCTCGCCCTGGCAGCCGAATAAAACGCTGACCCACACCGGGTCCCCTCGCCATACATAGTAAGTACTCCCCCACTAGGGTCTCGTATAGTCACCAACTATCTCTCGCAGTCAATGACTGCTCCAAACTTACTCAACCAGTCCATGCCCACGATGACGCAAACATCTCCCATCACTATTGGAACCAAATCTATAGGGAACTTGACACCAAAAATCTCGAGCACACATCCTCGAATCACGTCAGTGGCGTATACTGCTTTCTCATCAGCTATGGAAACCCTCAGGGGTTGACTCATCACCTCCCGATCAATACCAATGTGCTGACTGAAAGCCAAAGATACAAAAGACCGACTCGCACCCGAGTCAAATAATACCAAGGCAGATACAGAATTCACAAGAAAAGTACCTACGCATATCATAATATAAGAAGAATATCTCAGCATAAAAATAAACACACGAAAGAATACATACCAGCCACGACAACGGGCGCCGCGCGGACCTCCTCCACAGTCAACTGAAAAGCTCTCCCACGAGCCTTCGGAGCCTCGGCTTTCACCGGCCGAGTCTCGGTAACCCTAGCAGTAGGCGCAAATCCCTGGTGAAGCTGAGGACACTCGGCCTTCCGATGGCCGGTCTGGTTGCAATGAAAGCAAACCATAAATCCCTTGGGGCAATCCCTAGCGATGTGCCCCTCCTTGCCACACTTGTAGCAAGCACCTGATCGACAGGCCCCCTCATGACCCTTGCCGCACTTTCCGCAAGTGCGGCCCTTCTGACCTCCCGTCCTCGAATCGGCGGACTTGGTCCGCTTAGCTGCCGGCTGGGACTGAGCCGGCCTCCGATCCACCCGCTGAGACTCGGCCTCCTCCATGGCCTGAGTCTCCAACTCGATCTCCCTCTTCCGGGCATTTACCTGGAGCTCAGCAAAGGTCCGGTATGACGAGTTCGATACAAACTCCCGAATGTCCCTCCTCAGTACACCCAAATATCGACTCATCCGAGCCTACTCAGTGGACACCTGCTTAAGGCAGAACATCGCCCTCTCATGAAACTTCTGTTTGATCACAGTAACTGAATCATTACTCTGCTTGAGGATCAAGAACTCCTGAATCAACCGTTCCCTCTCCACCGGGGGAACATACTCGTCTCTGAACATAGTAGTAAATTTCTCCCAAGTCACGACCGAAATCTCCGCAAGAGTGAAGTTCGCTGTCACGAACTTCCACCAATCCTTTGCTCCCAGGCGGAGCTGGTTCAAAGCGAACCGTACCCTCAGATGCTCCGGACATGAACATGTGTAGAAACATCCCCCAATGTTAGCAATCCATCTCATCGCAGCGATCGGATCCTGCGTCCTGTCAAACTCGGGTGGCTTCGTGTTGCTGAACTTCGGGAATAGCAACGAGTCACCTCCCTGTGGTCTGGTAGCAGCCACAGCTACGGTAGCTGCAGCGGTTGCGGCCTCAGTCACCGCGGCGTACCGCTCATCGAAAGTCTCCATTAGTGTGGTCTTGATAGACCCAAACATTTCCGGAATCTCGGCCCGGATCGCTGCAGCCACCTCTTCGTGAATCATCTAACGAAGCTCCTCGTCACTCACACCGCTTGTCCCAGGTCTGTGGCGTGGCCCAACCATAATGCCTCTGAAATACAACATAAAAATATCAGAGACTCAATCGAGCATAATCGCACTCGATAACGCAACCCTACTCGGCCTTCGATACCTAAAGGATTCTTACTTTGGTTGACCACTGACCCGGTGTCTTCAGTAGTATGAGCCCAATACTACCGACTACACCGTATCAACATTCACCCCAAGTACTCCTCCCTAGACCCCGGATCACGAGGACTCTATTCTTGCTATGCACTGGCTACCTACTCGCTCTCAAAGTATCTCATAGCAGCAGGTTCCCCTAGACTAAGGCATCACAAATCAGGCCACTCTAGTCCTAATATGAATACCTAGTCTACTAACATGCATAACATATCTCATAACAGATATTGTAAGGGTATTTTGGGGATTTTACCGTTCGGGCGCTAGCTGACCGTACACACTGCTTCTCCTTTGGTTATAACAAAATCTCTTATAAAAATTTTATGCTTTTATTGAAAATTTTCCTCAAATCCCCGGTTTGAGTTCAGTTACGGCGAAGGTGCATCTGAATCCCTCAAACCAAGGCTCTGATACCAACTTGTAACAACGTGAATTTTCAAAACAAATTTTCATTTTTCAAATAACATAAACCATCATTTAATATTCTGAAATCACATGTGTAACAAATGTCATTGTAACAAAATACATCCCATGATCATAAAACAGTTCCTTCGCCAGTGTGTACAAATCACGCCGGCGCCTTCCCACGGTCCTCGCTAGTACCTGAAACACATAACACAACAACTGTAAGCATAAATGCTTAGTGAGTTCCCCAAAATACTACTTACGCACATACGCCTTTCCAGGCCCGGGCCTTCCGGTCCATGTGTCTCAGGGGACTTCCGTCCCAACTCGGTAAACCTTCCCGTCCTACCTGCATCAACCTTACAGTCCACATCACAACGCCTTCCGGCCCATAACATATATGCCTTCCGACCCATAACATAATGCCTTCCGGCCCATATCAAGCATAGCATACATAGCACATACAATCGATTAACTTATATATAATGCATACAACTCATAACATATCCGACCTTCCGGTCACACAATAAAACCCTTCCGGGTACAGTATAGTGAGAAAACTCACCTCGTGGAAAGTCTAGAATCTCACGCGCTCGCTATCTCCGAATCTCGAATGAAGACTCAACCTCGCCTAATCATAACGAATATCATTTTAATTAATATAGACTTTCAAAACTAGACTTTACCCTTATTAACAATCCTCAGAGGGGTAAAAGACCATTTTACCCTTCCTCGACTCAAGGTCCACATGTTGACCAAAACCTTAAAAGTCAACAAAAGTCAACATTTTAGTACGCGGGGCGTACAGCCTGATGTACGCGGGGCGTACAGCCTGATGTACGCGGGGTGTACAGCCTGATGTACGCGGGGCGTACATCGCCAACCCAAAAGTTGGGGTCTCCACCCAGTACGCTGCGCGTACTGGGAGTTACGCCCAACGTAATGGTCAGATCTAAACATTCTTCATTTCTGGTCTTAATCGGTTAAGCCACTACTTCAACTTCTAGATCCGGCTTTATTTAAGCATCCTTACTCATAAAGTCGAAACCTTTAACCCTTGGCATGGCTGTAAAGGCTCTTACACTCCTTAACACCTTTCCATTTCAACTCAAGGATATAGATCTCATGCATGGCTAATCATTCATGTCCAAGATTACATTTTTTATGAATCTACAACTCAAATGGACCAGAAATATGATGGATCTAAGCTAATGGAGACCACTTGCTCATAAAGTCTGCACCTTTGGGACCAAAACCCTAGAAAATGGTCCATAAAGCATACCACAAGAACTACAAGTCAAGATCCAAACTTTTTACCTTAGAATGAAGCTCCAACCTTTGCTAAGCCCGGATCTACACTTGAACACCAACTTCTAGCCTTACCAATGGACTCTTCTTCTCCTTTGCTACCTTGAAATGACACCACCAAGCTTAGAACACTCACAAATGGGCTAGGAACGAAGAAACACTCTCTTAGGGTTTCTTTCTGAAGGATGGTGGCTGAGGAGTCAAGCCATCTCATTCCTTTTATAGCCAACCACAACAATTAGGGTTTTTGGGTCTGGACCAGTTACGCCCAGCGTACCCGAGGGAGGACGCGTTTAAATGAAGTACGCGAGTACGCGCAGCGTACTCCTTGTACGCCCAGCGTACTCGCCCAACATACAAAACTCTAAAATGACAACAAATTAAAGATGTAGGGCTAAATAAAAGGGTACCTGGATTTCAGGCTGTTACACTGAAGGTCCAACAAAGTGGTTGTTATCTGAGTATGGTATGTATGAGTTCTTTGTTCTGAAAAGATAGTCCAAAACATAGTTGCACCAGTCTATGTTGCTGATATCTATTTTTCTTGAAATATAACTCAAAAAGAACTAAGAAGTTCAATTTGAAATTTAAATCAGGTTTTGTGGTACAAACAATAACTTTTTTATTGCATTCATTCGAATGATTGCTCCTTCTTTAAATTGTTGCTTCCATTCATCATAACTTGGGGATAATGTCACGGTAGCACATGGAACTTTCTTCAATTGGTTAATTTGGTCCTTAAAGTTTTTTTTGGTACATTAAGCTAGTAAACTCGTAAGTGACTTTTGAATTACACCATTTTATCAAGTTTTAGAAGGTTTCCCGGTTGACCTTTTATATATGTAAATTAATATTTATTTTTTGTCTAATCTAATGCCACGTGAGATATGCCATGTCAATTAATGATATAAGAAGCTTAAATCCTATCATCTTCAACTATCAAACTTCAGTCGTCTTCATTATTGAGCTGTAAAAGAACCCGAGTTAGGCTTTGTGAAGCATTCCTGTGATCGAGCTGAAGAAACAAAGAAGTCGCAGCAATGGCACAATCGGAACCTAATGGATTGTTTGCGATGGTGCAACTCGACTACCAAGGGGTATTTAATTGAAATCCTTTCTCTTACACTGGTGGTGTGAAAACCATTTTCACTGATGTTGACTTTTCTTCTATGATTTATTATGAGTTTGTGACCTTCTGCGAATGTTTCATGTATGAAGAGTGTAAAAAGTTTTACTACTGTGAACCAGGCAATTCCCTGATGGAAGGGCTTAATCCCATTTCAAATGATGTGGAATATGCTACTTTTATTTTTTATGCTTATGGAACATATGGTGTAATTTCAGTTTATGTGAATCATATTGGGGTGGGTGTTGATTGGTGGCTTGATGATGAAGATAATGATGATGATGATGAGCATGAGTCTTGTATTGATGGTGAAAATGAATATAACATATATGAACTTAGGAAGGTTGCCTTTGAAATTAATGAGGATGTAGTGCATATGAATAGGACATCAAATGATCCTTTCTTGAGTAAGTTATGTGTTGATGATGAAGAGGATAACTACATTGTAGATGATGACAATGGGAGAGAAGTTGAACTTAAGATTCAAACTCATTCCATATTTAATGAGCTATTACACTGGAAAAAACAAAAACCAATTCTAGGGATGAGATTTAAGGGTCCATGGCAAGTAAAATCAATGTTGTGTACCTATGTTGTAGCTAATAGATATCAATTGTGTTTTGAAAAAATGATAGGGCAAGACTTTTGGTGAGGTGTAGCAAGGGTGCTTGCACATTTAGATTATAGGATTCTTGGATGAGTGATGAAGAGAGTTTCCAAATCAAGTCACTAAAAGTTGATCATAATTGTGTTAGGAACTTCAATTTTGGATCATTGGTGACATATGCATGGATTGGGAGTCACTATACCAAAGACATTGTAAAAATTCAGAAAATAAGTGTAAGGAAGCTTAGGTTGAAGGTAATGGCCAAGTTTGGTATCCAAGTTAGTATGGGGCAATGTAGAAGAGCAAAGAAGTATGGATTGAAACTTGTTGAAGGTAGCCTTGTTGAACATTATGGTAAGCTATGGTCATATGGTCATGAGATTTTAAGGACAAATCTTGGGTCAACTGTGAAACTAGATATGGAGGATGGTCCAAATGGAAAGAAATATTTTAGCAAGTTCTATTGTTGTTTACAAGGAGTTAAACAAGGTTGGATTGAAGGGTGTAGAAGGATAATTGGTCTTGATGGATGTTTTCTTAAAAGGGTTTGTAAGTGGGGGTTTGTCACACTCCAAAACCGGAACGGCGGAAACGTTCTTGGGCGGAGGACGTCATGTACAATATCACAACAAAGCATAATAGTAAACAAGCAACAAAATCATCCATTGCATTAATAATATAATTTTATACAAGTGTGTTCTGTATAGTTTAAAAGACACCAAAAATATGAATCAAAATAGAAGATGAGTCTTGAATGTGCTCCATATTCTCAAAAGCTGGCATCGGTACCTGTTTACTGATGACCTGAGAATACAAGTTATTTTGAAAGAGTTTATCAGCTTTAAAGCTAGTGAGTTTATAAGCATTTTAGTGTCATTGTTTGTATAAAAATGTTTGTAACAGTGTAATGTAAGTGTTTGTAATTGTTTGTAAATGTTTGCACTTCCTATAAAATCCTATATTTTCTACTGAAATGTAGTCTTCTACCAAGACCCGACTATTTGTATGTTTGTTCATTGTAAATGTATGAGTTTTCCCAAGTATAGCTAGCATTATCAAAATATAGTTTACATTATCGTTTATGTGGGAAGGTCACAAAGTAAATGAAATAGGGAAAATAATGTTTTATCTCAGCAGTGACACTACTGACTATAAGTTGATAAAATAAAGACTACAAGTAATATTAAATGTGCTATACCCCTCGGGGAGTCTTATTGCCTTTAATTCTTAGTCGGTTAATTAAAGGTTTAGATGTGAACTAGTTTGTAACCATGCTGATTGACGGTTGCATACCTGACGACCTTTCGGTGTCATAAAATAGTGAGGTGACATTTTGTCACCCCTTGTCCTTACCGTCTGGGACTGTAGCTAGCAGTCGGGGTGTGGGAGTGTCTGTCCCGTATAGATCTATACACACGATGCCTGCTTTCCCTCCAGGAGACTCTAGTTAAAATATGATACAACAATGCCTTGTTGTATTCGGAAATAGTATGTTACATTCTAGTTATCGTATTCTAATGTTTGTATAGTATATTCTCATGTAAGTTCCCTTAGTTTCTCTTCATAGTATGTTCTATTGTATAGTGTATAGTATGTATTGTTTCTCATTATAATATTCTCTATTTGTTTCTCTTTATAGTAAATATTGACTCATGTATGAACGGACTCTTTGTATGTTTCATTGTACTAGAAAAAGTGAGTAGTGACTTCCTAAACTATACCTATTATAGTTTACTAGTAGAGCTGTTTGTATGATTGAGTGTGTTGAACTGAAATAAAAGCTTTTATGTTTCTACATATATACTAAATATATAACTAAGGATCAAATGACACTCGGACAAACAACAGGGTACTCTAAGTCCACAACCAAACAAGGAATAGGAAATAAAGTGAGTTATCAGTCCTAAGTCCTTCAAACCTTACTTATATAACTATATATGCATTAGACATGGTTTTGAAAATATATAAGTTTGAAAGAGTTAAAAGAAATGGTTTAGTATATAAGAACAAGTTTGGTAAAGAGTTTAGTATTGTAAAAGAGTTTCATAAACATTTTGAAGTAGTTTGATTGATAACACAGTTAAAAGTATAGTAAATCCATCTGTTTGATAGTTATTAATCACATGTGATTGATATAACAACTATAATGATTCAACTTGTATCCCCCCACCCCCATAAAAGCATTTAAAATCATTTAACAGGTTGATTAAGGGGTATGAACTCACATGTAGTGAATAGATTGGATGAATAAGTGGTATAGGATGCTAAGTGTCAAGTGAAGACTCACACACGGATCCTATTCATCATATAATGATACATATATGTATACAATTAGTGTTTAAACAACTAATTATGCAACTAAGGACACCCTAGGTCATAGAAAACACTTAGATTCAAGTGCTAGAAGTACAAAGGGTTGCATATAATGGGTGTATGGCCACACATTAGTGCTTATGGCCAAGGAATGGTGTTTCATGGGTGTGTACAGCTAGAGTGTACGGCCCAAGTGAGTGTACGGCCGTACACTCATGGTTAAACATGCCATCTTGTGTTTTAAAGTCCTATTAAGCACCTAGGGGTTGTGTCTTGACCAATACTTAACCTTATTGAAAGTTAAATGCTATTTTGGACCCTAAAAAGGGTGTGTACGGCCACACAAGGAGTGTACAGACGTACACCCTTGATGATGATGTAAAAATGGTCAAAATTGTATTCCAAGTCTCTATATTTCATTCCTTAAGTGTTCTTGATCAAGTTCTAGCCTAGAACATGAGTTTTAAGGCCCTTAAGCACCAAATGGAGGGGTGTACGGCCACATGGGGTGTATACGGTCGTACACTCCTCATTAATCATATTCTGGACGTTTTCTAAGAAGTAAATCAGTAAGTAACTAGCACAAGGATTGGTACTTACAATAGGGAAGCCTTTAGGGTGTTTGTGGTCCAAAAACTTAGTAGGTGTTCTTGGTGCTCTTGATGTTCTTGATGAAAACTTGAAGATCTAAACAAAATGAGTAATTTCATGGATGAAATGGTAAATCTTTACTAGATAGTGTAATGAATCATCAAATAGATGGAAGAAAACACTTACAACTTGAAGATTTGGAAGCAAAACCGGATGACACTTGAGAGAGAGAAGTTGATTTTCAGCCTTAAGAGTGTGAAAAGAGGTGAAAGAAGGCTAACACTCTCATTTATACATGAGTGTGTATGGCCAGAAGGGGGTGTACAACCGTACACTCCATGTGTACGGTCATACACTCCTTAAGTTGGAGTGTTTGGCTAATTTTTGAAGTATTGAACTTCTGGGACTTATTTCTAAACCCTAATTTTGAAGGTACAAGGCTTAGAACACTCTAATCGACTCCAAACAATGCTAGAAATAGCACAAACGAGTCTGAACTTGATTGATTTGAATAAGTGTACAAGATAGGAATTTCGGGTTGTCACAGAATTGTTTTGTGCTATTGGGAGGGATGCAAATAAGTAAATATATCATATTGCTTGGCTAGTGGTTAATGTGGAGAACAAGCAGAATTGGAAGTGGTTTTTAGAGCTTCTCATTGATTATCTAAACTTGAATTTAGGCAATGGTTTCAGTTTAATGTTAGACCAACATAAGGTTAGTATTTTACATAGTAATGCATTTATATTTATTTTACACTATCTGAATTAAACATTTATACTATTACATGGTTTGATAAAGGCTGTTAAAGAGTTGCTGCCATATATAGAGCACAGGCAGTGTGCTAGACATATTTGCCAGAATTTGCAGAATAGATTCACTAGTGCCATATATCATACCTTGTTTTGGAGAGCATCTAAAGCCACAACTGAGCATGCTTTTAAAGTTGTGATAAAAAAAATTGAGACATTGAACCCAGATGCCCATCAATATCTCATGGAGAAAGATCCTAAAACATGGTCAAGAGCTTTCTTTCAAACTGTAAGGTGTTGTGATGCAGTTGAAAATGGGTTCTCAGAAAGTTTTAATGCTATAATTGTAGATGCCAGGAAGAAGCCCATAATAACCATGTTAGAGGAGTTAAGATTATACATGATGGATAGAATCTACAACATGAAATTAAAAGGATAACAATAGGGAAATCATATTTGTCCAGAGATAAGGGATAAGGTGAATTTGCTTAAAAAGGCTCAAAGGCATTATCAGGTACTACTAAGTGGATTAAACCAGTTTGAGGTAAGGGGAGCAACAGATGCATATGAGGTGGACTTAGAAAGGAAAACATGTTCATGTAGGTTGTGGCAATTGAATGGATATGGATGTGCTCATTCTGTAGCTAGCATATCATTTCTTAATAGGGATGCAGAAGCCTATGTAGACAACATGTTTGACACAACCACATTTAGGAAGGCATACAATTACATAATTGCTCCCATGAATAGCAGTGACAAGTGGCCAGAGACAAACTATACTCCACCATTGCCTCCAATTAATAGAAGGATGCCTGGTAAATCAGCTACTAAGAGGAAGAAATCCACTACAGAGAATACAGGAACATACAGGGTTTTTAAGGCTGGAAAGAAAATCAGATGTAGTATTTACATGGAGATAGGTCACAACAAGGCCACTTGTCCATAGAGAAGACCCCAAAAGTTAAATGTGAAGAAACAAAAGAAACAAAAAGTTTGTGTGAACCAAAATGCAGGACAGGTAAAACCATTTAAAATTTAAATTTATTTACATATGATTTGTTACTAACATAATTATATCATGCCATATAGGGTAGTACAAGTGAACCACAACAACATGAAGAGGTTGAAATGACTCCAATTAAGATGGATACTACTCAAAATGATGTGTAAGTTACTCCTACTGATGTTGAATCCAGTAGTGCAGGGGATTTTAGTCATTCTATGCAATTTACTCCACCTAGAAGTTATGAAGGTGATGAGGGTGTTGTGGGTGAGGAAGCTGATGTGGTTGAGGAAGTTGTTGTGGTTGAGGAATTTGTTCAAGATGAGGAGGCTGAGGATGTTGATCCTGTTATCCAATTTGATAATGCTAATGTTCAGGAGGTTGATGAGGTTAATCCTAATGCCCAAGGTGATAACGTTAATGTTCAGGAGGTTGCTCCTATTATCCAGGTTCAGCAGGTAAGGGTTAGGCCAATTTCAGAGATTTTGAAGAGGATAAGGAGAAGAAAGTCAGAGAGAATATTGAAGTTGAAATTAGGCAAAACAATTGGTGGTGTTGATGATCCAGGAAATTCGAAGGGAAAAGCTCTTGTAATTGATTAGTGTTTATTGTAATTTGGATTTAAAGTTTATGTAATAGGATGATGGTAATTTGGATTTAAATTTTATGTAATAGGATGATGGTAATTTATATTTAATGGATATTTTGGTCATTTAAGTATGTATGAAAGAAAAGGGTATTTTGGTCATTTAAATATGTATGAAAGAAAAGGGTATTTTGGTCATTTAAGTATGTATGACAGAAAAGGGTATTTTGGTCATTTATTTATGTATGAAAAAAAAGGGTATGTTGGTTATTTATTTATGTATGATAGAAAAGGATATGTTGTTCATTTAAGTATGTATGACAGAAAAGGGTATTTTGGTCATTTATTTATGTATAACAGAAAAGGGTTTTTTGGTCATTATGTATGACAGAAAAGGGTATTTTGGTCATTTATTTATTTATGTATAACAGAAAAGGGTATGTTGGTCATTTATTTATGTATGACATGAAGTATGAAAGTATGTTGCCTTTTTAAGTAAAATCATGTCATTTAGCTTTGAATACTTATGCATGGAAAAAATTGGAATAATATGCATGCATGGGAATGTTTTATATGGTCCTAGATATAGTTTTATAATGGCTTCACAGGTCCCATTTTTTCATTATTAAAACACCCACTGACTAGTAACTACAAATGGTCCCCATACACATAGTGTACTTCCACATAGACCACTTCCTCATTTGTTCCCAAATTTAAAACATGCACAACAACTAATCTAATTAAATATATTTGTTGGGAATACATACCATGAATATGTTTGATTAACATCAACATCTGATTATACAAAATGTCCTACAATTGGGACTTTGAATATTTTTTTACATTACTTATCATATGCCCTTTCATTAGGGACTTACCACCTTACAACATCAACACATCAAGGTTGATAACCCAACTTATAACTAAAAGCAGCTTTAATACATATAAAATGCCCATCATTACTGACTTTCTAGTCTGCCTTTACAAAAAATATAAGGGATCCCAAAAAAAACAAAAGCTTACACTAACCAACCTAACTAACTACAATCACCCCCTAACTTCAAAAAACATAGGGTCAAGCAAGCAAACAACAGGGCAACTATCATCATGTATCTGCCTATTGCCTTCCTTGCATCATGAACTTCTTTCTCACTCTTTACCACCTTATACTGCTCCTGTGATAGCAGAAACTCCGCTTCAGCAATCCTTCTCCTCAAATTGTTCATCTCAGACAGTTCCTCTTTGGCATCCAGTTTCTGCTTCAGAGAATATAGTTAGTTTTTGTAGTACCCGTCTGCCTGTTCTTCATCTTTCCATTCAAAGAAGCTACGTTTCCTCAACCTAGTCTATAAAAAGCCAATAAAATTAGGGTTTGATTCACAATCACAAATCAACTACCTTTAATGTACCAACAAAATGGGTTTTATTCACAGTGATCATCAAGAAGAAAATAAAATTAGGTTTTTTAACAGATGGAACAAAATACAAATACACCATTATCGTCTTTACAGAAAGAAACAACACATCAAACCATAAAAAATACTAACTTATCAAAATCAGGAGAATCGGGACCTACCATACTGTTTTGACAATTCCAGAATCGCCTCCCAAGGTTTGTTATCTTCCAACACGTTCATTCTTTAGTTGGAACGACACAATCACAAAGATTTACCTCTTCTTGCGACTGAACATGAGTGACATGTAGCTGATTCCTTGATGTCGATGAGCTCGAAGACATTCTTCTTCAGGACGGAAATAGTCGGGAAGGGGGAAGTCTTTGACTTTTCAGAGAAGGGTAAGTAAAGATTTAATGGAGGTCTGAATGAGGGTTTGAATTAATAAGCATATATCGACAACTAGACTTCTTCGACACATAAGCTTCCCACGTAAACTTATTGGACACATCAGCGTGCCACATAAGCATTGTAACTAGGAAACCTTCTAAAACTTGATAAAATGGTGTAATTAAAAGGTCACTTACGAGTTTACTGAACTAATGTACCAAAAAAATTAAGGAAAAAATTAGCCAATTGAAGAAAGTTCCATGTGCTACAGTGACATTATCCCCATAACTTGTATCATCTTTTGGCCATTGATTCGGTTGTGTAAGTATGGTTCCACCTTTTGGAATGTCCAACATGTCATGAACAGACTGTGTTGTTACTTTCAGTTCCTTTCACTCAACATCTATCACCATTCTCTCATAATCAAATTTTTGAAGAATATAAAATCCCATCTTCAGTGGTACATCTATGATTTTCATTTTTAGCAAACTTCCAAAACCCATAGATCTTACACATTCTTTTTTTTTTTCTCAACCCAAGATAGTAATGACTCTGGTGAACATCTGTTTTTCATCGAGTAAAATTCATTTACCACTGGTTTTTTTTCTCTTTCTTGATTGGTGACTCTTTTTTTGCCTTCTTGGATGGACGACTACTTTCAAAACCATAGTCTAAATTATGTAGTTGTTGTTTTTCAGGAGTTTTCCTTTTTGATGGATTTTTTCTGCTTTAGTACTTTGTTTTCTTTGGTGTTTTTGTTTCTTTTTTATCTGGGAAACAAAAAGATATAATATTTGAATAAGTTATTGATATATGAATATGATATATGCTCATTGGTTTATAAATATTTGTTTATTACAAAAATATAACTGAGATATACAAGTTTATTCATATTTGAATATATTAGATATGACAGGAATTTTTTACCTTTCGCATTTTTCCTCTTCAAATCTGTTTCTCTCATTGTTGTTGGGTCTTTATCAGAAATGACAATCTTCTTACCTTCATACATTAGTGAGTAGAAGATAAATAATTTTGAAATACATTTTACAAAGAAACTATTTTATATTCACAAATGAATAAATGAAGTTATTATATGAATATATATATATATATATATATATATATATATATATATATATATATATGGTTAGGTTCATGTGAGACGGCCTAATTTTGTGAGACAGTGAGACGCATTTTTTAATTTTTTTTAGTTAATTCAAGTTCCGAAAATAATATTTAAAAAAAGAATTTTTTTAATTTTTCCATTTATTTTACATTTTAAAATTATTTTTAGAATATGTACAATGTAATATTCTATTTAGAATATTTCACGTATTTTAAAAAAAAAAGATTTTTTTTAATTTTTTTTAGTTAATTCAAGTTCCGAAAATAATATTTAAAAAAAGAATTTTTAGATTTTTCCATTTATTTTGCATTTTAAAATTATTTTTTAGAATATGTCAGTGTAATATTCTATTTAGAATATTTCACGTATTTTTCAAAAAAAAAAAATGAGATTTATTTTTTATTTTTTTTATATTTTATTTATTTTTATTTTTATTTTTTTAGTTAATTCAAGTTCCAAAAATAATATTTAAAAAAAGAATTTTTGGATTTTTCCATTTATTTTGCATTTTAAAATTATTTTTAGATTTTGATCTCACGGTCTCACAAAATTAGAATGGTCTCAAATGAACTTGAACATATATATATATATATATATATATATATATATATATATATATATATATATATATATATATATATATATATATATATATGTTTGTGTGTGTGTGTGAAGATACTGAAGATCAATCACCAATTTCAAAAGAAAAATGTTTCAAAAAAAACAACATAAAGGTATGAATAATTGTTTCCATTCACATATGATTAGCTTTTGAATACAAACAAAGCTAAGCCATATATATTTATTATTATATGAATACAGAAATTCAATAGTTTTTTTTAATATAAAAATATCCGGATTGAATTATTCATATATTAATAGAAGAAAATTATAGTTAGGATATACAAGTTATTCATAAATAAATATAACAGATGTATCCATATTTATATATTCACATGTGAATATATATATATATATATATATATATATATATATATATATATATATATATATATATATATATATATATATATATATATATATATATGGTGGGGGGTGTTATATTCATATGTAAAGATACTAAAGATCAATCAACAATTTCAAAAGAAAAATGTTCGAAAACAAAAACAACATAAAGGTATGAATAATTGTTTCCATTCATATATGATTAGTTTTTTAATATAAACAAAGCTAAGCCATATAAATTTATTCGTATATGAATACAGGAATTCAATAGTTTTTTTTAATATAAAACATATCTAGATTTAATTATTCATATGTTAATAGAAGAAAATTATAGATGGGATATAAAAGTTATTCATAAATGAATATAACAGATGTATCTGTCACACCCCAAAACCGGAACGTCGGAAACGTTCTGGGGTGGATGATGTCACGTCAAGTATCACAACACATGCATTATAGTAATCAAAGTACAACAAAACATTGCATTAATAGTAATAGTTTTACATGGTTCACATTACAATATATCGAAGTAATACAAGTAAATGTAATAAGAACAACATGGTACTAAGCTATCTTCATCAACAGGTCCAGGGAATGTACCTGTTTAATGCTGACCTGAGAATACAAGTTATTTGAAAAGCGAGCATCAACATTTTTACAAATGCTGGTGAGTTCATAAGTAATTAGTGATATTTTATTCAAATAACTTTATAATGTAGTAGTTTAAGAGTTCACAGTGTATTAGAGTTCTTTCCAGAAAATCCTATATTTTCTTTAATAAAAGCAGCCTTCTACCAAGACTGGACGGAGTTGTGTGGTAAAAAGTAGTTTTCCCTTAATCGCTATCATTATCGAAATACTGAATTTGATTATTAAAGGAAGCAAGAGAAGTCATGGAAAATAACATATGCCTCAGCAGTGAGGACTGCTGACTAAGGCAAAGGAATCATAGACTCCAGGAGTGTATCGAATGAACGACCCGCCTGGTTTCGTCTATCAAATGGAGACACAGACCCCAGAAGGTACCAAATGAAAGGTACAACTGGTAAGGTCTAAAACAGTGAATACAAACCACAGACAGTATCAAATGAAAGATACATCTTGCAAGGTCAAAACAGAGAATAAAAACCACAGACA